CCGAACTCAACTCGTCGTTGCTGACGGACTTTAACCTCGGAGCAATCAGCTTACATTGTTAAAGCGGTTTTTTTATTCACTGTGGAACTAATCGAAACCTAATAAATTTTATAGCGTTGAAATTATTATTTTTTCGATTTTGTTTCTCATACTTCGAGTGATGAGGGATTTCATGTACATCGTAGACGGTTATGACTTTGTGAAAAGGCGTAAATTTTTTTGGTGTATCAACAATCATGATGTGGGTGGAGGCGAGGAAGCAGGAGCGGAAAATCAAAGGGATGCTGGTGGATTTTCGAAAACGAGCCGAAAGAAGACGAGATTTCTACGAGAAATTCGTGAGTGCAGGATATTCAACTTTCGTGAATAAGTTCATATGTTGATTCGTGGTTCTTTTCTGTACTGAAATTCAGACTCAAGATCCATCGCAATCCCTCCAGCTGCATGGACGCCCTTGCAAGATGCATCTAGAGCCTGCCTCTAGCTCTGGAGCTGGAGGAGAATCTGGCATGGGAATGTAAGTTTTCAGGAATGAAGAATTTGTTACAGCCAAACCTCGATTTAGTGCCATTATTTGTCTTGGTACATTTTGTGGCACTAAGCGATGGCTTTTTTTGCAATGTAAATTCAGAAATAGAATGTTCAAAATTATCTTCGGTTTCTCTGTGAGCAAGTTCATGTGATTTTTAGTCTAACTGGACTTTTCAACCTTGGTTCATATTTCGAGTGTTGAACTTCCATGGGTTTCTTATTTGCGTGCTTGTGACGGGCTTCTTGACGAGCAGCATTTTGACTTCATGAAAGCCAATACTGTTTCTATTTGAAATGTGGAATTTTTTTTTTTCTTCAAAAAATGCTAGTGGACTTGAATGAATTTCATGCTTTTCCATTTCAAGGATGCCGTGGCAAGGAGATTCAAAAGTTCTAATCGATCGTTTCGACGGACGAGCGCATTTGGATTTCATCCCGGATGCGAAATCATTCGCAGTGGGAAAAAATGAAAGCGAAGCTACTGAGATGGGTGTTTACGACACTGATTTGAGCCCCAGTGCCTTGGCGCAGGTCAACTACGAGCGCTACAGGATTCTCGTTCAAAACGATTTTCTTAACGGTAATTCATCGTTAATTTCAATTCCGTTGAGAGGAAATCCCCGAGTTCTTCAGTAGATATTTTGATTTGTACCCATTCTTTATTATCTATCGTCTGCAAGTTTCCAAAGAACTGCTTAGATTTTCTCGATAGTTGTGTTGGAGTCAGAGGCGGGAAACTGTATGAAGTTATTTTCCAAGCGACGTTTAAGGTTTCAGATTATTATCTGAAAACCACGGGCAGAATATTTTTTTTGAATGCAAAAGATTTCGTAGAATTCCTAAAAAAAATATGTTAAAAACATGTTTGTCGAGAAGCGACGAGTAAAAGCGCTGATTTAAAATTATGATTTTCCGCAGTTTCGGAAGAGAAGTTCCTGCAGCAAATCTACGTCGAAGAGAAATTCGGCCCTGTGACAAAAACTGGAGAGGAAGAGAAAAAGCGTCAGCTAGCCGACAAACGTGTGGCCATCAACTACACCTACACAGACTCGTCATTGCCGACACCGTCGACGAAATCCGAAGAGAAGCCTGCCGAAGAGGAAGACGACGACAGCGACATGGACCTCGACGTCTGCGTCGACGTCACGCAGCTAAACCGGGACCAGTGCACGGAAATGAACGAGGCAGCGAAAAAATATCGGGTTCCCGGCGATAATTACGTGAATTATTTGTACGAGGATCATCTGGAGCAAGAGGCGTTACGAAAGGCGAAGCAGGAAGAAGAAGAAAAGCAGGCGATTTCAGGGAAAAAGGGCAGACGAGAACGAAGGCAGTTTCGAGAGCGGAAAATGATTTCCATTCACAGGAAACTCAGTCCACCGAGGTCAGTTTCGAATTGTGAATGTCATCATGTGAGATGTTTTGCAATTGTATCGTTCAAATCTTCTTTCAAAGATGAATGCGACCAATTCTCAAACGAGTGAGAAGCAAAATTTACTCGATCAAATTTTATGTGAACTTTTAGAATACTTTTCTTCATCCAATCGGAAGCCCATCATAAGATTTCTGTTTTTGAAATATTTTTGCTGAGTTTGGCATCCATCAGGATGGGAAGATATTCTGAANTGATGGCGATTCTATGAATACATAGCGAGTAAAAGCTAACTTTCTTCTTCCAGTTATGCCGCAAAAAACATTCCCTCAGCCAGCGACCCGTTCAAAAAATCCCGCGTGCTGAGTCGTTCGAAGTCCAGGTCCCCAACTCGTTCTCCATCTCCAAAGATGACCAAAGTAACCTACATTACGTCCTTCGGTGGCGACTCCGACGAAGAAGACGCCGGCGCCGCTGGTGAAAAGGACTCCGGTCCGCGCGGCATTTTCATTCCGATCACGGCTCGCCGCCACGACGACACCGACGGCAAGAAATCCGCCTCGCACGGGGCACCAAGCATCTCTAAAGGATTAACTTTAGGCGCCGCGGCGTACGAAGTGGCGGCGAAGAAGGAGCGGGAGTCGCGAAGGAGACGGAGTCGGAGGAGCTCAAGCGAAGATAGCCGGGGAAGAAGAAAAAGAAGAAACAGCGTTAGATCGGATTCTTCGGGGTCGAGGAGAAGGAGGCGAAGGCGGCGCTCGAATAGTCGGAGCAGGAGCAGAAGTAGGAGTAGGAATAGACGAAGGAGCAGTAAGGATAGGCGGGATAAGAGAAGTAGGCGGTCGAGGAGTGATTCTTCTAGAAGTTCATCCCGTTCGAAGTCCTCTCGTAGGAAGAAGGGCGGCATCAGAGCTGAATCAAAACCGAAGTAAGTTTGTTTCTCTTCGTATTTATTATCATACGAGTAACATGCCATCAGTCAAGGGGTGGAAAAAACAATACAAGCTTGCAAACTGCCCTTTCATTGAACTTTTTTTTCAAGACTTGGAGGATTCTGTTGATTAATGTCATGCTTCAGTCACCAGCTCAATTTCTCCGAACAAACACAGCGAAAAACAGACTTCTAACTCCTATACAGTATACCATTTCTCTTGCTCTGAAAATACTGTAGTATAGAAGTTTGTATTTTTTTGCTGTCTGTTTTTAGCCAGAACAGTTCGGAAGAATTATCAACTGTTTTTGCAGGTGTAGATTGTTAGCATTATTTTTTCGTTAGAAATCTGAAAAATATTTTATTTTTCGACTGCATACGATTTTAGGTTTTGTGTTTTTCTGAAACACAAGGAAGGAGAATGAAATTGAAACAGCTGCAATTTTAATTCTTCCTGTAATCCTCAGGATAATTGTGGAGAAAATCGAAACTCCGGTTGTTGTTGAAGAACCCGTTTGCGCCGCGCCGGAACCGGAAGTTGTGGTGAAGCTTCCTTCGCCGCCGCGACGCTCTTATTACGGTCGTCGTAAGGGCAGCTCGTCATCATCCTCGGAAGACGAGTCAAAAGAAAAGGTTGAAGAAGAAAAGAAAGAGGTTGGCGGGAAGAAAGTGGCGAGGATCCCTGCTATTCCTTCGATTCCAAGGTTAGTACATTTATATGCATCAAGTCTTTTTTTTTTTTTATAAAAAAACTTCGGATGTTAACTTTGAAAGGATTAGCATTGAGGCGGTGTGTTCGGATTAACTGTTCATGTGCTTTTTGACGCAGACATTTTTTTTCGGCGCACAAAAATTAGCTGTTCTTAAATCTCGTAAAGCTTCTGTGGGAAGGGAAATTTAGGCTTTCTCGAATTTTTGTTCATTTTTCAAATGTGACGCACGCTGACATGCTTTGGAATTGGTGGTTACTGTGTTAGTAAAGTTGAAAAGAATTCATCTAAGCAAGGAAAACAAATATCTTCATCCTCATTGCGATAAAGATGCAGCCCGTCACCCGATTAAACCTTGCGTGCCACTATTTGCACGCAGGAAGAACCCAGAATGGTATGAAACTTTTTATGACGCGATGTTACATCAAGACACAATTTTGACTGACAGTGACATCTTTCTTTGTGTGAAAAAAATTGAAGTCCGCACTAGTGCCTCATGGAATTATTTTACCTCTTCAGTTTCATTTTACCTCTTCAGTTGTATGATTTTTAATGTGGATTTACAGGGTACCCACGGGTTCACCGCCGGGTTCAGAGCAGCGTTCCCCGAGGTCGCAAACACGTTCGCGTTCTTCATCTTCCTCATCGACGTCATCCTCTCGTTCCTCCGAGTCCCGACGGCGGCCGTCTCCGCAGCCGCCGTCTACATCTGCGAGAAGTCCGCGTGGGTCTGGGCCATCGAATGCGTCTTCCAAAGTCAGTAAGAAATGGTTGGCGAGGTGGGAGGACCTGGAAATGGTGGCCGT